GGTTGGTCGTTTATTATTATTCGATGGTTAGCAAGACATGTAAACGCAGCGAGAGCTGGTTTTTTTAAGTCTATTCTCTCGCAATAGTGAAACATGAGTCGATAATTGATAACAAAAGTGAGTAAGAAAATAAGAGTAAGAATATAAAATAAAATAAATTCACTGTAGGCAACCAATTTAACAATTCAAAATAAACTTAAATGTTGTATTAACGTAACCCCTCGCCTTGAAAGAGTTATGGGACTTTCAACAATTTCCTTCTTAGATTGAAAATACAAGGGTGGCAAATTGACTTCCATAATTAAGACAAAAAACGCCCGGTTTCAACAATTTCTCCGCAGTATCGCGATTCCATTTTTTTCTGGGTTGAATTTTATTAAGATATTCCAATGACCAGCGCTTCCAGAAGTACTGATAAATCGATTGGATTTGTTGAAATAAAGATAGTCGTGTTTCTGGAACATCGTGTAGGTTTTAAATGATACTTTTTTAATTTAACCCCCGCTTCCCATATGCCCCCAAAATGAGGGGAGGAGGAAATGCCATTGAATACCTTTTAATGTCAATTTGTCTGATAAATCATTATGTTCGTGGGAAACAAAGTCGGTAAGTTCCCTTAATTTGCGATTAACACCGACAAAATTGGTGCCATTGTTGGACCAAATAGTTTGAGGCACACCGCTTGAGCTACAAACCGCCGAAGACTGGCAATGAAGGCATCAGTAGCGAGACGTGTAATGAGTTCGAAGTGTACCGCTTTGGTGGCCAAACACACAAAAATACAAATGTACGCCTTATATTTTTTGTTGCCACGATTGTTGGAAGTTATTAATAGTATTGGTCCCGCGTAGTCAATGCCGCAATGCAAGAAAGGATGAGTGGCTGTTACGCGTTCCGGAGGTAAATTACCCATTAAAGGTTGGACAAATTTAGGTTCTGCTTTAAAGCACATCATGCATGTGTGTACAATTTTATTGGCTAACCGTCAACCTGATATAATCCAAAACATTTGCCTTGTTGTCCCTGTGGGCCGATGTGCATTATGGATATGAATATGGCGCATAATTAAAGTGGATGGCTTCCAGGTAGAATCGCCGGATGCTTAACGAACGTATCGTATGAAGAATGTTTCAATCTTCCTCTGTCGCGTAGAATTTGTTCATCAATTCTGACCGATTTGTTACCTCTTAGTACCAGTGCAGCAATTACCATCTCTGGCATTGTCAGTATAACCGAACTTAACTTATTAACCTTTATGAACTTTTTTTCCACACCGCAGATGACGAGGTATAGAACGTTCCCGTTTTTATGGGTACACATATGACTATTTGACCGTAGCATTTGCAATTCATAACGTAGCACATACAATTAGTTACTTCCGACAGAAGAATAAAGTGCTGCCACTCAACAATTGACTCTTACGCTTGGTGCAACAATGAGATGGATAGGAAAGTAAGATCTGCTTATTTTCAAAAATTGTAGTTATATTTTAATTTGATAATTTTAGATATCCCCGAAAAGGTACTCTCTTGTTACGTATGGAATATTCTTGTGTCAACAAAACTACTTACGCCATTTTTGCGTCGCTTGCAAGTTGCGGCATTGTAATGGTTGCCCTCATCTCATCAATTTGATAAATATTGGTTGCATGCTTACTTGCGCGAGTATTGTGTTTTTTGGTCTTGATTCAGGACTTTCCAGTATTGGTATGTCTCCAGTTTTGATAAAGTATACAGAAATAACTCATTTATTTGTATTTTCAGATGCTTATGCATATATTTGCACCGTACGTCCCTGGGCATTAATGGCAGGATTCTCCTTGTTTAGCAATACTTGGCAGGTGCTATTGATTTGGTCATTATGACAACGTGGCAAATCTCGGATCCTTTCTATCGAGAAACTTAGCAATTGGAACTTTATGTAAGTGTCTATCTCTATTATTTAATACATAAATAATCTGAATATTTTTAGCCACATCCATCAAGTGAGGAGATTGTCATCATACCGGAAAACGAATATTGTGTTTCAAAGAAAATTACTATTTTCGTGTGTTCGAGTTATGCATACAAAGCATTCTTAGCATGGGACACGCGTCACGTTAAACGAGCAGCATTAAACGACAGTTATCATATTGGGATGAGCGTTTACAACGTGGCAATTATATGCATTTGCGGCGCGGCCGTTGTACTAGTATTTGCTGACTACCAGGACGCCATGTTTTTGATTATTGCTGTATTTGTTATGATGTATTTCACAACAACAACTTTGTTCCCATAATGGTTGAATTAAAACGGAATCAGGCAGGTTCCATTGACGAAAGCTGTAGGGCAACCTTACTTCCAATGGAATCAATAACTCGACGAGAATCAAGCACCTCCGAAGTAGAATCCAAAATGAAAGAAGTAAAGGCAAACAATTCAAGATATAGGAAAACACTATTGGAGTGCGAGGGTGAAATACAAGCATTCATACGACGATTGGGGAATGAAGCCCGTGAAATAGTAGATTGTGCCACTGGGACTAAAGCTATTAAAGGGGCGAGTATGCTATCACCTATTTACTAAGTCATTTACGTCATGTGATTGCCCTGCTTAATGTTGACTTGAACAGGAGTGTATCAATGGGTCAAAGCTAAAACTGTGCTAGTTCTGGTGGGTTAGTACAAAATGGTCCAAGAAGAGAAAGTGTTAATCTAGAAAAACCCTTCGTCCGAGAAGAACCAATACAACCTCAACCTATACTAAGTAGACGCACTGCCGAGCTACATATGGTGTAGATGATAATGAGCATTCTACACCGTGAGCTGCAAGGCATGAGTGCAAAAGGCAATTCCATGCCGTGGCGATGTAGCCTAAAAAGCGCCCTACAGCATAAGGAGCACCCCGTTTAAGAAGTTACCGGTAGTAGTACGATTTGCGGAGGAAGCTTGAGTACACCTAAACGCAAACCTGACCTTGGCACACATGTGGTAGCTAAGAGTGAGCTTTGGGTCACCGGTAACCAGCACACCCACACAGATAAACACAGCCTTTGTCGATGCAACTCTAAGTCAAAATCAACGTGCATCCCCTGTCAGTATCTCTATAGACGAGGAGAACGCCCCCACATATCACCGTTCTGTGACCCGACACGCACCTGGGGTGGGGGGGTGGTGGGGTGGTGGTTAGGTAGGCTACCTTGTTTGGTATTATTTATGGGGGGGTGGGGTGATAAAATTTAACGATTTAATCAACGGATTTAACACACTGACTAGAAGCAGCCCGTGAATGCATACATCCACTAGCTAATGTGTTCATTTCAGTTACAATGAATACTTTAACTACGAATTTTAGCGAATGTATGCATTGACTAGTAAATGTATACATTTACTAAATATGTATACATTGACTGCAACATAGATATAAGGAGTCCGAACGTCATGTTAAATTAATGGTCACGTTCTAGGGGACCAAATATTCGCCAATAGAGCGCGTCACTATGCGTTAGTGTACTCGTTTAAATACTTGCATTACTATGGACACCGCCAATATTTTACAAGATACATGAAATTATGACATATTTTTAAATCTTTGGGCTATTAGTTATAAATTAATTGTTTATAACACATATTTTTCAAAGATATTGCTCACCTTTTGTGCTTTGAATAAAACTACTTTTTCTACCTTCTCACTAGTCTTTTGGCCACTAAAACATCCTGGTAGAGCACAAAACTTTCCCATTTTTTAACACTACTATATATAATATTAGGCATTCCCGCCCATTCGTGGGCATTGCCATCTTAATTTCAAGATTTATAGATCCTTATTCTGCGGATCAACCGTATTCTATATTTGCTTTATAATTTCTCTCCATTTTCTTCTGTTTCTTGCTTTATTTTTCCACTCCGTTATTCCTAGGTGTTTTAGATCGTCTTCGACTTGCTGTAACCAGTTTTCTCGAGGTCTTCCTCTCTTCCTGTTGGATGTTGGTTGCCAATCAGTTATTTGCCTTTGTATTGTATCTGGATCCATCCTCATGATATGGCCGGCCCATCTTAGTCTCTGTTTCTTGATTTTTCTTATGATATTTTCACCTTCCATTACATCTTCCAATTCCTGGTTGGTTTTTCTTCTAATTGTGCCATCATCCATTTTGTTCGGTCCTGTAAGTTTTCTTAATATTGCTCGTTCTGCAATTTCCATTTTGTTTCGATCTTGTTTTGTTAACGTGAGTGTTTCTGCTGCATATTGCAGAATTGGTCTTATAATGGTCTTATATATCCCCAGTTTTGTTTTCCTTCTCAGCGTCTTGTTTGTTAGTGACTTTCTATTGACATAGTAGGCTCTATGTGCAGCTTGAATTTTCTCCGCTATTTCGTCGGTATTTAAATGTTTTTACGCACTCGTACATATGGTTTCCTATCTCAATTGAACTTGTTTCATCGTCTCCTGTGATCATAACCTTTGTCTTTTCCGTATTTATGTATAGTCCAATTTTTCTTCCTTCTTCCATAATTTCCCTCATTGTCTCTTCAAGCAGATACTTTTGTTTGGCTATCACTGTAATGTCATCAGCATATGCAATTATTTGTAGTGGTTTGTTTCTTAATGTTCCTTTTCTTTGTATATTTCTGAGTATGTGATCGATTACTTGTGTGAAAAATGTGGCTGATAGTATATCTCCTTGCCTTATCCCTTTACTTGTTTCGAATTCCCTTGTCTGTCCGCTTCTCGTAATTACTAATGTTGTTGTTTTCTCAGTGACAACGTTGATCATTGCCTTTACCTTTGTTGGTATCTCGAGTGAGTGTATAATTCCCATTAGTTGTTGTTGGTTTATTGAATCAAAGGCTTTTTTAAAATCTATGAAGATGATTATCACTTTCTGGTTATGCTCAGTTGTTTTTTGTAGAATCTGTTTCATCATGTGTATAGCATCTATGGTAGATTTTCCTTTCGCAAACCCATTTTGATATTCAGGTATTGTGATGTTTTCCATTAGTTTGTTGTGTATGGTTGTGGTCAGCATCTTGTATGTGGAGTTGAGCATGGTGATGCCTCTATAGTTGTCACATATCTGTTTGTCTCCTTTTTGTGAATTGGATATATTGCTCCTATACCCCATTCTTCCGGTACATGTTCCATATCCCATATTTGATTTATTATCTCGTGTATTTCTTTGACCACTCGATCTCCTCCATACTTTATTAGTTCATTGTTTATTCCATCGGGTCCAGGTGTCTTCCCATTCTTCAGTTTCTTTATTATTTCTTTTATATCTTGCTCGGCTATTGATATTTGCTCATTTCTTTCACACCTTTCTTCTTCTTGTCCCACTCCCAGATTTCTTCTTTGAGTCTTGTCTTCAGTCAGGATTGTCATGAAGTATTCTTCCCATATTTGCTTTTCTTCTTCCTCGGTTTCTGCTGTTTTTCCGTGCTTGTTCTTCATCTTTGTAGTTTGCCTGGTGCTTTTTATGGTATTCATTTTCTTAATGTCTTGGTAGAATTTTCTGGTATTATTGTTCTTCATCTGATTTTCAGCGGTTTGTAACTTATGGTTCATCCATTGATTCTTCACCTCCCTTATTCCGTGGTTTGCTTCATTCCTCGCCTTCCTATAGTTCTCTTTGTCATTGTCATCTCCAGTCTTCATATATTTGTCTCTTGCTTCGGTTTTTCTTCTTACTAATTCCTTGCATTTCTCATTCCACCATTGTGTCTGCTTCTGCTTCTGTTCCGTACCCAATACGTTTTGCGCTGTTTTGTTTAGACATGCTTTAAGTTTCATCCATTTCTCCCTTACTTCCATGCCACTTTCCTGACTTTCAAGTTCTTTTTCCATTTCCTCTTCATATTTGGCTCGTACCTCCTCTTGTTTCAGTTTGTCTATACTCCATCTAGCTTTCTTACTTTGCTTCTTGTTTTGGTTTGTTTTCTTTATACGTACTTTCGCCACCACCATGAAGTGGTCTGTTTCCACATTTGCCGCCTTCTCTGTATATACATCTTCTATTAGGCTTTGTCTATCTTCTCTTATTAAAATGTGATCGATTTGAGTACTATATCTTCCTCCTGGGGCGTTCCATGTTACTTTATCTTCATGCTTATGGTTGAATTTTGTGCTGGCGATAATGAATCCATTGCTTGCTGCAAAGTTACAAAGTCTTTGTTGGAATTATGGATTTAGGTAGTGGTGATTTTATTAAATAATTACGAAGTTTAATTGTGAACGATTGCCGTATATTCAAAGATGAGAGTTTTCGGAAGTATGTCTGTTCGATTTGAAGGCTCGAAACGAACTAACTCCATACATCTCTGTATGTCAAAGTTACTCTGGTTGTAGACTAAACATCTTGTCATATTTTATTTAAGCGGTCTACAATGCCCTTAGTTATACTTAGATTTATGACTCTCAGCTTGAGTACTTTTTCTCTACTTCCTCGAAATATGAAAATAAACCTTTTACATGGTACCCACAAACAGAAAACTTAATACGTGAGAGAATGAATTTTGTCGACGAACTCAAACTTCAGCAGTCTTGTTCCATTATCGTTGGTTTTCTCGTGAATTGTAAATTTTCCTGCAACCTTACTGTTGCACTCCTCTTTACCTACTTGCGCATTGTAGTCCCCTGCTATTATTATTGTGTCTCGGTTGTTGATTTGTTCATATACCTCTTCTAATTTTTCGTACCATTGCTCTTTCTCTTCGTTAATGGTGGTTTCGGGTGGGGCATAAACATTTACTAATGTTACGTTGTATGTTGCCATTTTTATTCGTATATATGATATCCTATCGCTATGTGCTTTATGTTCTATGATATGTTTTCTGAATTTGTTTGTCACGATGAAACCGACTCCATTTTTTCCTTGCTTATTTCCTCCGGAGTAGAATAGTGTATAATTTTGGTTGGTAACTTCACCTTCTCCTTTCCATCTCAGCTCTTGTAGAGCTGTTATGTCTATTTTATTCTTTATTGCTTGATCAGCCACTTCGTTCATCTTTCCTACTTGTAATAGCGGTCGTATGTTCCATGTTCCAATTGTTATTATTTCCTTGCGTCGTCTCCATCCTCTACGATTTGTTGTCTTGTTTATTGTGTTCCTGCTATTTGGTTTTTTGGATTGGCCATCTGTTGTTGCATTTCTTCCCATTTTATCATTCTTCCATTTATGGATAATCGTTTGTATCCTATTTTAACTGTCGCTCCCTCCTCTCTCCTCTTTAGCCCTTTCATATATCTGTTTCTGAATGCTCATTTCATTTCTAGTGAGCTCACTCTCTATAAATATTTTTGTGTCCTTTAGCTTGCTCTTGGCCTTCATTATGATCTCTTTCTGCTCTGCATCCTGTATCTTAGCTTTTATTGTTCTATAATTAATCCTCTCCGCCTCGGTTATATAAGCATCTACCCCTATGTATTCTTTAATGAATTTTCCAACTTCTTCCTTCACGTTGCCATTCTTGATCTGCATATTTTTTATAACTATGTTATTCCGTTTTTCTTTCTTCTCTATGTATTCTATTTGGTTTTCCAGCTTGGCTACGTGTTCCATTATTTCCTCCTTTTCGTTTTTCCATTCTTCCTCTTTCATCTTGTTGATTTCCTGTATTTCTTTTATTTCCTGTTTGAGGACGTTTATTTCCTGCCGTTGTTGTTCGAAACCTTCGTACATACATTGTTTCATTTCGTCCTTGTTCTTATCAAGTCTTTGGTTCATTTTCTCATTCATATTCCTCATTTCCTCTAATATTGTCTGCATACTTATTGGTTCAGGTGCCCTGTTCCTTATTTTGGTAGATTATTTATTTTCTGGACTGCTATTTTCGAAACTAGTGTCCTGTATTTGTCTCTTATTAATGTCTTTGTATACAATTTCTAGATGGCGTTTTCTCACCTCTCAATCAACCTGTCTCAGTTTGTTCTAACCTCTTTATTTCTTTATTTTTATTTTTCCGATTATTTCTCATTCAGTTTTCCCCTTGGGCCAATTTCTTTCGTAACTTTGTTCCTTGGATCTTAATTACCCTGTTGTTTCCCTTCCTCTTAATTTTTACTTCTCTGACTGGTTTAAATTTCACCTCGGCTTTCTTCACGTCTGTCAAGGATACTCTCAAACACAAAAAAAACAATACCTAAAAAACAAAATATTTTGAAACAAATAATTAGTTAATACGTTACGAAACTTGCAAAATTTTATTTTACTCAATAAAAAATTATAGCAATTACATTATTATTATTTATTATAAGATACATATCTGCATTTTTCCCTTCACCGCCACGAGAAATGTTATCATTGCATAATAAACATAGAGCTAACTTATTATTTTTACTGTTTATGTCAAATTAATCCCATAAAGGCGATTTTTTTCTCACGAAAGCCATTTCTTGTAGCTAATTCTTTTAGAATTATGTATTATGTATATTGTATATGTACTTCAAATAATAACAGCACAAAGAAAATTATAACCTAGAAACAATCACGCACGTATCTGCACGGCATGCAATTGACACAATAATACAATGAATGATACTTTGGTGTGCGAATCGTGGTAACAATGACAGTTCAAATAAAAAACAAAACACAAATAATTTCATGAATAGATTCACCTTGGGCAGCGTGACGAGTTGTGAGAATGTTGGCCGTTCAATTTCTTATTAATATGTATAATTTTGATACCAATAAATGGCGCCATTTCATCAACAACCCAATGTGAAATGGAAAAATCAACTAAAGCTTCTTCCAATTAGAATTTTTCAACTCTTTTGAGAAATCACTTAGACGAATGTTAGGATTATGGATATAGGTAGCGGTGTTTTATTTAATAATTAAGAAGTTTAATTTTGGATGATTGCCGTTTATACGAAATTGGAGTTTTCGGAAGTTTGTCTTAGCGATGTCAAAGATCAAAACGAACTAACTGCTTACAACTATATTACTTTCATTGTCGTCTAAACATCTTGTAATATTTGGTTTTAAACAGTCTATACTGCCCTTAAAATTATACCTAGTTTAATGATTCTTAGCTCGAGTACTTTTTCTCTACTTCTTGGAAATAATAAAATAAATTTTTGTACAAGGTTTTCAATGTGTTTACCAAATGTTACCCTTAAACAGAAAACTTTCACTTTCCACAATAAACAAAGAAATAAACTATAATATTATATAACTTAATATGTTGAAAGAGAATGACTTTTGTAGACGAACTCAATATTTCAACACGCACCCTCAAAAATTAATCTCTTTCATAATTTACAGTTTCAAGTACAATACATTCAATATTAATTGACATACCTCCGTTAACTCTTGGTCTGAGACGATTGTTACTAATCGTTTACATTATGATCTGATATTTGTCTTAACGATAAGGGAAACCCAGAAAAACCTTATCAGATCATGAATAATAACAATTATAATATTACATCAAGATATTATTTATCATTTAATAATCAATCTTCCAATCCCATTTTCGCTCTTAACTCCAGGAATTTGACCTTGGGTAGTGGCTTGGTCAGCATGTCAGCAATTTGCTCACCTGTTGAAATATGTTTAAGAAATATAGTTTTTTTCTCACATTGTTCACGGGAGAAATGATATTTTATGTCAATATGTTTGGGTCTTTTGTCGCTTGATGGATTATTAGCTATGCTAATACATCCATTGTTATCTTCATAAATTAAGATAGGTTCTTTAGTTTCCAGGCTTATACCTGCTGCTAAAGTTTTTAACCCCATTGCCTCCTTGACAACTTCATACAGTGCCATATATTCAGCCTCTGTAGATGAACCTGCCACAAATGACTTTTAGTATTCCAACATATTGCACATCTATTATATAACTTAAATAAATATCCCGTTGTACTTCTTTTTTTAGAAATAAAATCAAGATTTTCATTTAATTGTCATTGTAATTTTATCTGCAAGGCATATCGCTAGATCATCCACATATAATACAATGTCAATATTTTTAGAAATATCTCCTCTATCTAGTATGTACATGCACCGATCTCCATAGGAATTTGTAAAACCTATTTCTTTAAGAGTTTTTTCAAACCAACATCTGGCAGCTTGTTTCAGGCCATATAATGCTTTGTTCAATTTACAGACCTGATTTGCCTTGCTTTTTACATCCTCAGGTACTCGCATATATATTTTCTCTTTTAACTCACCATTTAAAAACGCACTTTTTACATCCATCTGGTGGATTTAAAAATCTAAAAGATGAAATTCTCGCGACTGGAGCAAATGTTTTATCATAATCTATAAGATATTTTTGACTAAAACCTCTGGCAACTAAACGAGCTTTATACTTTAATGGATTTCCGAACTTATCGTACTTTATAGTAAAAATCTATATACATTTCATATGGTGTTTTATTTGCATTCAATGATTTTGTTTGTGTCATATTAATTAGATATGTTGCAGTTAAAACTGCATCACCCCAAAATATTTTATCTAATTTTGCACCAGACATCAAGGTTCGCGCTTTTTCTGTAATGGTCCTAACCATTCTTTCAGATACACCATTTTGCTATGGAGTTTGTGGTATTGTTAGATGATTACTAATGCCCTTTTTTACATAGTAATCCTTCATCTCGTTAGATAAATACTGTTTACCATCATCAGTATATAAATTTACTATTTTTAAATTAAAGCTGGATTCACTCTTGTTACATAATCTTTAAACATTGCAAATACATCAAGTTTATGTTTAATTAAATAAGTTACACAATAATGAGTGAATTTATTACTTTCTTTGGCGAATACGTAATCCATTTTTATATTTGAAATATTTATATTTGTATATAACTCCAAATATAAATTGTAAATCCAATATTCACGAAAAATTATAAATAAATAAATATTTCAAATGAGTGAATTCATCAACAAACAATACAAAATAGTTTTTATCATTTATTGCAGAAAGCGTAATAGGACCACATACATCCGAATGGATATTAAGTAATGTTCTTTCTATATAGTCTTTATTTTTGAATTTATTGAATGATAGTTGCGCTTGTTTACCGTTAATGCAAGCTTCACATAAATCATTATCAGGTATTATTATACATTATTTGAATAATTGATAAAGCTTTTACTTACAGAAAATTCCAGAGTAAATAAATTGTTTCTCGGCTTACCAGTCATTACCGTTTTACCATTACGGCTTACTGTCACTCCAGAATCACTGAAGGTTACCAAGTAAACTGCTTGTTGCATTTTGTAGACGGATAACAAATTATACGGTACATCAGGACTGTACAATACATTTTCGATTTGATGGTTAGGACCTTGGTTGCGGTAATAAAGGCTCCATTCTTCGCAACACAAATTTTAATTTGTGTTTGCAGATCAAAAAAGATGTCAGCTAGATCCTCTCGATTTATCAGATTATCAGAGGCACCTGAATCCAACAGAAAAGAAATTTTCTTTTCTTCATTTGCTAACTGAAAGTTTCCAGCCATAAATGCAAATTCGCCTTCTTCCTGTGGGGCAGTCTAGATAGCCTGAATGGTTTTTAGTCTTTCTGCATTAGTTTTGGACTTTATAGTTTGCAGGTAGTAACGGCATTCATTTTTATAATGTCCTTTCCTTCCACAATGATGACACTTAACATGCTTTTTATTATTTGTATTATTCTGTTTTGGTTTGATGATTCCGCCATAATTTTTCGACGTTTTTCTAAAGTTACTGAAATGTCGTTTTGAGTCATTATTTTTCTGCTCTATGTGAAGAACCTTTTTACTCGTGTCAACATTTTCATTCACAAGTTTTATTTCATGGTCTAATAATCGTGTTTTTACAAAACTTAACGTCATGTTGTCTTCCGATAAAGTCTCGATAACCGTTATCCCGCCATTGTAAGATGCCGGTAACGTCAGCAATAGTTGGGCCACTTTATCAACTTCTGAGAACTCCGGCTGTTTCGCTACACTTTTCGTTTGAAGATATTGTCTGATGCTAACGATTCCGGTTAGCAAGGAATACAAACTGCATAAATTTGCTGTCATTCGCCGGTTCCGCACAAATCTGTATCACCTTAAACTAATTTTAAGCTGAACAATTTATTTTCTATTAAATTAAATTAAATTAAACTATTAAATTTTCCATATTATTTACTAAGTAATAATTTACTCTTAATAATTGGAAATAGTTAATTGTTTTCTCTTAGAAACATTTAGACACTTATTTTTAGTTTACACTCACTAACTTTTAATTGCACTTTGAAATTTAATTTTCTTTCTTTCAAGAAAATTTGTAATTTATTAATTTTAATTAATCAAGAACGTAACCTGGGCCCATAACCTGTCGGGATTAATTAAGAAGTTTAATTTTGGAAGATTGCCGTTTATTTGAAATTGGAGTTTTCGGAAGTATGTACAACTATATTACTCTGGTTGTCGTCTAAACATCATGTAATATTCTTGGAAATAATAAAATAAATGTTTTTACAAGGTTGACAATGTGACAGAAAACTTTCACTTTCCAAAAAAAAACAAGGAAATAAACTATAATATTGAATAACCTAATATGTTGATAGAGATTAAATTTTGTAGACGAACTCAATATTTTAACATATATTTTGCTCAGATATTGATATGCGCTCATTTCTTGCACACTGTTCTTTATTCGTTTGAACAGGGGATATTCTGGATATATTACGGTTGGTCGGTTATTGTTATTTGATGGTTAGCAAGACATGTAAACGCAACGAAAGCTGGTTTTTTTATGTCTATTCTCTCGCAATAGTGAAACATGAGTCGATAATTGATAACAAAAGTGAGTAAGAAAATAAGAGTAAGAATATAAAATAAAATAAATTCACTGTTGGTAACCAATTTAACAATTCAAAATAAACTTAAATGTTGTATTAACATAACCCCTCGCCTTGAAAGAGTTATGGGTCTTTCAACAATTTGCTTCTGAGATTGGCAACGTGTGAGTGGTTTTACTGCCGGTCGCTGGATTGTTGAGGTAGAGGTTTTCAAGGTGGCAACGCGTAGTACTCGTTCGTTGTCTTTTCCGGGGTGGCGTTTTATTATTCTGCTCTACTTTCAGCAAATTCTACTTTCTGTGGCAAATTGTCTTCCTTAATTAAGACATAAAACGCCCGGTTTCAACAATTTCTCCGCAGTATCGCGATTTCATTCTTCTCTGGGTTGAATTTTATTAAAATATTCCAATGACCAGTGCTTCCAGAGGTGCTGATAAATCGATTGGATTCGTTGAAATAAAGATAGTCGTGTTTCTGGAACATCGTGTAGGTTTTAAATGATACTTTTTTAATTTAACCCCCGCTTCCCATATGCCCCCAAAATGATGGGAGGAGGAAACGCCATTGAATACCTTCTAATGTCAATTTGTCTGATAAATTATTATGTTCGCGGGAAACAAAGTCGGTAAGTTCCTTTAATTTGCGATTATCACCGACAAAATTGGTGCCATTGTCGGACCAAACAGTTTGAGGCACATCGCGTTGAGCTATAAACCGCCGAAGACT